AAAATCCGTCAAATGTTTCAGTACGACTTTGCTGAGCTACGAAGCCGCACCGCTTGATGGATTGTGGGAGCTTTACGGCTGTCGTAGGCGGAGCCTCGCGGAGTGATACGTACTGTGCTTAATATTACCGTATTGTGTGTGTATAACCTCTTTTTAAGTTTTGTGGATATTATACATGGTTATGCTGAGGATATGTCGGCCAGTTTCCACTGGAAATGCCTTTTGGTTAAACTGTCAGCAAAGAATTTGCACTGTTACATTTTTATAAACCTTTAATGCACATAAAACAGCTGCTTGTTTAAGTGAAAACACACTGATGTTTTTTTTGCACTAATAAAGTTGTGGAGTTGTAAAGTATTTTGTCTCGTCTCAATTATATCGTCAGTTATATCGTTATCGCAAATTTTCAAATATATATCGTGATAAATATTTTTGGTCATATCGCCCTGCTCTAGCCACAATCACAGGCGTGGAGCGACCAGCTGGACGCCGTGACGCACACTGACCTCTGACCTGGACAACAAAGATGTGAGACGTGGACTGGCAGCTGATGGGAAACACGCTCGAGGGGATTTTTAGGTGAAGCAGCGGTACGAGGATGAGTGTGAGGCTGACGAGATTTAGCCCCCACGGAGGATAAAGCACCCCTGTGGGGGGAATTCACCTCAAACTCAAAGTATGGAAGTCAAGCCCGGTACTAATACGTGGTAATGTGTTATTGTACGTACAGCATCGGCACATGCGTCACTAAAACCAGCTGTAACATTAAAGCGACTGACCATGAATAATGAAGGATAAACCCACAGAGATAAATGTGTGTAACATGAAACGAGCTCTTTGGTATCAGTCTGATCATCACTCTCAGGGGGAGTTATTATCTTTGAACTCAAACCACATTTTCCTTCCTTAAGTTTGGAAAAGTTCAGAATAAAAGTAAGAACAAAAGTGAGCAGAGACTCACATGATAGTTAAAGCAGGTTAAAGCCTGACAATCATCATGACTCTGACGTGGGAGGTTACTGTGAAGCTCACACTGGCTACAACAACTATTTTCCAGTGAGTGCACATTTTTAACCCTTTAGCACCAAGCAAGTCATAGCTTATACATCAGACTCCCCCAGAACCACCTGATCCGATCACTACATTACTCGTTTTTACTTCCACGCACTAACCAACGGGACCGTGGACAGAAGGAAGGATGTGAAGCATTAAATCCGTGGCTTGTTGTGCTGCGATCGCTGCTTCAGTTCTGCCCCCCATCAATAACTGACAGACTTTAAATGGCTCTCTGTGTGAACACATGCTGGAATATTGTGTTTATCATCGTCACCTCTGCTCTTATGCTCGCTGCTCTTTTTAAAACTGAAGCCAACTCATTACATGTTTCTGTGGGGACCCCTGTGGCCCCACTGAAAAGAAATCCTGGAAACGCCCCTGACCGCTACTTTCGAGTGGGGGCAATGAGCTCAGGGAGGTGTTGGTTGAATTCCAGGAGGAGGTAACAGATACTCCACTGTGGACTTTACTGAGACTTACTCAGCCCGTTACTCTGCACTTTCAAGCTCTCACCTGTTGATCCTTCCAGCCTGCTCAGGGAGGACGACTTCCTCTCAGCCAGCCGCATCCGGACCTGCTCCCGGACCCTCCGAGCTTTCGCCACCGGGTCCGGAGACGGGCCGTCCGAGGGGACCACGTAAGCGGTGCAGGAGGAGTTGGGCTGCAGGGCGGACAGAAAGCAGCCCTCCGGGATCCCCACATTCATCCTGACGCTTCACCGAGCGAACAAAGAAAAAAGGCTCCAGGCGAACTCCGGCGAACAGCGGACCGTCCGGTGCGCAGCGCAGCTCCGAGTGTCTGCAAAGAAACGGCGCTCCGTCAGCCCAGCGTCTGTGGGCGGGGCCCGAGAGCGGGGGGCGGGGGGTCTAAAATCCACCTGCTGTCAAGACAACCAGTACACAGGAGGTCTGACCTCACACGCTTACGTCACCGCAGCCCCCGTGACCTCTCCGTTCCCGCAAATATTAATAAACATGAACCCAAATAAAAACAGATTAGTGTTCAGCAGTGTAGAGACCACATACCTGCTTCACGTCCAACTCAGGGGAAGCCATCCACCTACCAGTCAAAGAGGCCACGCCCCTTTCCTACTCTGAGGCTCAAAGCCCCTAACAGGTGTTATGAAGGACTAAATTACCTATAGAGACCAAACATTTTGTGTATCAGGCTGTAAACATGTTTGTTTTAACATTGGAGTCTATGGGGACTGACTCACTGCTGCCTCTGCTGGACGCCAGAGGAACTGCAGGCTTCGAGTTTCAGAGTTGGCTTCATCTCCTCAGGTCGAGGAGTGGAAACAACCTGATAAACTGAGTGTTGTTTAATATGAACATCCACCAGTGGAACGGGAGATACGTGAGTGGAAACAAAGAGTAGGCTTGAGTTTAAGCGCCTTCGAGAGCGGCTGTAAAAGACTCACGAAGAAAAATGGTCACTTTGAACTTTGAAAACGTGTCTGTCATCAGTTTTGGTGAAGCATGATGTCAGGGTTACACATCTGTACGTTATGCAAGCCGATGAAAATAACCCTTCTTACCCAATCCTGATAAATGAGAGGAGCCGACAGAAGGGCCGAGCCGGGGTCAGACGTTTAGCTCCAAACTCGACTGTCGATTCACAAAAACAACGTGCTCACACTCAGACGTGTGTTTCTAATGTGTACCGACAGAAAGTTAGCTGGCTTCTGTGCTTCTTTAGCAACTTTTGAACAGGGGTACGAGTGGGATTGTGAAATAAGCCGAGAGATCGTGATTGTTTAAGGGTCCAGGAATGTGGAAATAGTTGGGGGAGGTCTGGGAAGGCGAGAGTGAGGAGCAGCAATACGTCAGGAGGGAGCAGGGAGGGATCCTGCTGCAGAAACCACGGACTTTCACACAAACCACCCCATCTGGGTTTGGATGCACGCAGGACTGCATTTAGCAACACACACACACACACACACACACACACACACACACACAGGTCACGACCTCTTTGTGTGACTTTCACAAACCCAGAAATATGTGCAGAAAGCCCTGCGGTGTGCAGCAGAGAACATGCTGCTCTGATTTTGTTTAGAGGCAACAAAGCTACAGACAAGCTGAGGTTTCAGCCCAGAAGAAGTTTCACTCGTTAGATTCTTTCCAGTTTATTTTTTTACTGTTTGTGATGAATCTCAACTAAAAAAAACAAATAAAGAGCGAGACCGCCTCCCTAAAAAGACCCCTTTGGACGAGGGCTGGATCACAGAGCATCTTAGGACAGGAAATTGGAAAACCGGCAGGAATACGAGGACAGGCTCAGCTCATGGTCTGACAGTCCTCGTGATTAGTAAACGGCCTTTGTGGGAACTCCTCACACATCCTGTGGAAACAAATGAAGGTGGTGTGGGGGGAAAGAACAAAAAGGATGGTGGGGGAGGAGGAGGATGCCACAAATCAACCTCCCAGCCAAGCGAGTGCAGGAGAGAAGCCGTTTGTCAGCGCTGCCCAAAGACCTCGACTCCTGTAACAGGGAAATCTCTCCGCCGTGATCAGATGCGATCCTGATTCTGTAACACGATCGTCCATCGACTGAAATAGTTACAGAACTTTAAAATAGGGTTTTAACTTTAAACACTGAAATGAAAAAGGAATAAATGGTGGAGAAAGGGTGGAGGAGGTGGGGGGCACGGGGGCCATCCTGTAGGGCGTCAGGCCCGGGCTGCACCATCAAGCGTGTTTGGCGAGCGTTTCAGCACTCCCTGCTGATCTGCAGCATCCATCACAGGATGTGTACAACAAGCAGGCTGCACCCCCCCATCAGGGCCTTTATTACCTTTACTTTCACAGTAAGGCCAAAATATAACACAGAAGGATTTTTAACATGAAACCTTTAGTTGCTAAACAAAGAACACGTTATTCTAGATTAGCTTTCATGTTGTGCCGATCAAATACTGCAGCCACGTGTTTCACACACACAAGTCATACAAACCAGTCAAAAACAGTGACCTGACTCTAGAGTGCGACCGAAAACATAAATCCTATGTCGCGCCAGTGCGACCGTTTGAGTGGAATCAGTGATGAGACGCAGCTCTAGTGATCAGCCTGTGGGTAATAAGAAAAGAAAAGAACTATTGATACATTTTTGTTAAGGTCTGAAATTCACAGCCAGCTCTGACACGGTGCCATCAACCTCTGAGCGCTGAAAAGCAGCAGTGTGTCCAGAAAACACGTTATACGCTGCAATAAATGCACTGCTCAGGTGTCCCCTCTCGCACGGCCTTTCAGCGGCAGGCAGCAAACAGGTCGCCAGAGGCCGATGTGATGATTAAGTTTAACATTGTCTACAATATTGCCAAAGCACTTTAAGCACAAGCAGTTTTTCGGCAACTTTCTGGTAGAAAGTGCTTCAACTAAAGGACTTTGTGTTGAAAAGATTGTTAGTTAATCATTTACAAATGAATATTGTCTGCATGGGCTGAAAAACCTCCTTAAAAGTGCGCATGTAAAAGTGCGCATGTAAAACTGCGTGTTAAGCGATGCGGCTGAAAAATTTGGGTGCGCATAAGAAAAAAAATTCGGCACACGTTAGTCTGCAGCCCTGCCATATGAAGTTTTTTCTTAGTGCTCCCTCAAATGTGGGAGTTTAGCCGAGTGCTGACTAACACTGACTGCACCAGTTTACACACCCTGACCTACTTTTATGGTAAAGATCAGTGAAACTTTCAGACTTTAATATTCAAACATTGCGTGAGTGTGTAAAAAAGGTCCTGAAAGGTCAAAACACAGTTTTCCAAAACTATTGATGTTCAAAAATATTTGATATCTGAAGCCAAAAACTTGCAGAAATAATTGGACTTGTTCAAACTTTGTACCATGTTGATGCTAATCAGAGATGGTGCAGCAGAAAATGCTGTAAAAACGGCTGATGTGAGATGAAATGTGTGACTTATGTCCAAGTATAAAAGTGCAAGTTTGACTTTAACACGAGGCTGAAACAGAACACGCAGCAATCGTTTACTCACGGGTTCTAAAGCAGCAGCTCACCGTGTGACTACGCGTGAGACAAAGAACCTTCAATCTTTAGACAAGGATAACTGTTTCTCTGAAAAACAGGATTTTTGATTTTGTGACGTTGAGATGAAGAAGATTTGGTGCCGTCCGACATCTTTAACATCGCTGAGACGTTTGAAGCAGCTGCTGGTCTTCTACGGTTGCCAGGGATCATCAGCAGGTCCATCCGTGTGTCAGCGTGGCCGTGAAACTCTTAGCGGGAGGAAAAGTGACAGAAAATCAAACAGGACCTACCAAAAAGCCCCGCAGGAGGCCACAGGTAATGCAGGCTGCACCACAGTCCTCGAGGGCCGCTTTGCTGAAACGTTTCTATGCGTCGCTGCTGCAACACACATGAATAAAGCCGACTGCACGCTGAGGTGCCCGCCCCCCAATTAAAGAAGTGTTTAGAAAACTGTACTTTTACTGCACCACCTTCACTCACTCCTGATGTAACATGAATCAAATGGCTGAATCGCCTCCTCAGCATCGAGTCAAGTCTTGCTGAGCTGCTAATTTCATCAGGACACCCTCGAGTTTGACACCTGTGCTCTCAAATATATGAAAGCAACAAGTGCAGCATCCTTGATGCCAACCAAAGCTCGACTAAGGAGCTCACACTGCTGCACTCGCTAACAACCACCAAGCCCTGACTGAAGGTAGAAGCGACCCCTCTTACAACGGTGACCTTTCCTCAAATAAAAGACAAGAAGAGCTGAAAGGTTATTTGTAAAATACATTTATTCCCTTTATATTTGGGCAAACCAAAGTCTACAGAGCAGAGAGGAGATTTATGCAGCGGTTATTCAAAAGGCAGCATCAACGCTTCTTCGGCGCTGTCACAAAACCTTCCCCTTCCTCCTGTGATGACGTACCACACAGATATTACGATACAAAGAGAAGAAAGGCATACACTGTTTCTACAGCCTTCATTATTTTCATTAGTACGATACATCAGAGCTGTACGTCGCACTGTCGAGCGCCACTTAGTTAACAAGGCAAAGTTTTAATTGGTTGAGAAAAGCTACGATTATATGGAGGGCTACACGAGACGCTATGATTTAAAGGAGAGGTTAGAGGGCCGCTGTGCAGCCAGCGGTCGGCCGATGAGGCGGGAACAGTTGGAAGGCGCTCTGCACGTGCACGGGTCAACTCGGACGGCGCCGATAGAGCCACGCTCGTTACCATGACGACGAACACATAAACATGTCAGATTAGACCGACGAGGCTCAACCGGACGGGCCGTAAACGGGGATTTCAAAATAAGGGCAAAATGCACAAAATGACTCAAATGTGCCAAATATGACATGAATTTAAGATGCAACATTAATTATTATTTGTGGGCTTTTAAATTTCTGCTTTGAATCCTTTTTAGCAGCCCATAGTTTTATTTGTGAGCAAACACAACCAGCTGCCTACCAGGACAACCGGTTTGCTGGGAAACACACGTGACCAGTACACGACTGCAGGAATGAGCCGAACATTAAACTCTGAGGCTCTGATTCTGACATGACGATCATAGTTTACCACCGCAGAAAGAAAGCAAACGGGGTCAGAGGTCAACGACTTTGGTTACAGCTTCAGATTAAACATTTCATTTCCTGACAACATCCCACAGTATGACCAGAGGTGTGTGTGTGTGTGTCTGTCTGTCTGTCTGTGTGTGTCTGTCTGTGTGTGTCTGTCTGTCTGTGTCTGTCTGTGTGTGTGTCTGTCTGTCTGTCTGTCTGTCTGTGTGTCTGTCTGTCTGTGTTTCTGTCTGTCTGTCTGTCTGTCTGTGTGTGTGTCTGTCTGTGTCTGTGTGTGT